CTCGTGCCGCAGGCAGCGACCACCGCGCAGTCTCCGGAGATGTTGTGCTTAGCCGTTAAGAAGCTTCACCCTAAGCGCCAGGAGAAGGTTGTGTTTTGCGTACCGGATGTTATGGTGACTTGGGGGTTTGCAGTCCGGATGTTTTCCAGGCTTGGGGAAGCAGCCCCCCGTGCCCTAATCCGAGTTTCAGTGCACTTAATTATCATCTTGTACTATGCCAAAAGCATCGGCTATGGCATGCTGTCTAGCCTTCAAATATGAAGGACAACTCCATGACGACCCTGCGTGCCAGACTTCTGCGAAAGTTTTGTAGTGAGGATGAAGACGTCACATATGGCATGAGGATATCACATAGACCACCGGATTCTACGAGGGCTTTCGTTGTAAGCTAGCACCAGGCGTGCATCAGGAGTATCGGGACCGACACATAGCTTTCTGCATGAAAGCTGGTCGGAACCTCAAATACCTCCACGCCCCAATTCGACCTCTTGGACGTGCCACTTTGGGTGGCAAGTCAAACCTTTGCCCGCACTTGCGTGCAGTTTCTCGGCAACAATTTTGGGCAAGAAATCTGCCCGCAGAATTCTTTGTAGACGGCAGCATTCTCAGACTGTCTGTCATATCGACGAATTGAGAGCTTCGTCATTCTCGAATTGAGGAATGGTGGAAAAGATGTTTTGTGAGAGTGCTCAGGATATCCTGAGACTTGAAGTGAACATCATCCCGAAACTGTAGGAACCCTTCAAACATGAGCGGCTTAAATAAGCGTCATTGGCCGACGGCAATTTAAGTCCCACATGTATGTTGCTGGTACTGAGTCTAGATCGATAACACAGAGATGCTCTAAATTTTGCCTAAGCCCTAAGCCCTAAGCCCTAAACCCTAAACCAAACACTAAACCTCTTAAAAGTTGGCTCCTAGACTTGCAGCTTTGAGTTGCTAGCCTTTGCTTGCTTTTGAAGTCCCGACCGTAGATCTCTCATGATTCCTGTGGGCCCCCCACAAGAGCAAGGTTTAAGGTTCAGGGTTTACCTACAGGGTTTAGGGTAAGGTACCCAAGAAGGGGGACCATGTACGCAAGGTTAGGAACAAATGACCCTCAGGAAACTTGATCCATCGAGGAAATTTGGACCTATAGGTAGGACAACGCTCAAGTTGCAAGCAAGTCGTAACCCTTATCCCCTACAGTTGTCCCTCGGGTTTCGTACTATGCCTTCTTATCCCCAAAACCCTGTAAACTATAAACCCCCATATCCTCCCAGTCTCCAGTATCCTTCCCATTTGATCGCCCGCGTTGGGACTGACTCGGGACCCTTCACTATGCTCATGTTCGCATGCAGGATATTCGCCGTCTCGCCGTCAGTTTTCACGAGGACGGGCCTTTGGCCATCCAGAAGCTTCCTCGGTACCTGCGCCCTAAACCCTATTAGGGTTATATTGGGGTTAGGGTAATAGAGTAATAGAGGTTATATTGGGGTATTTTGCGGCTTTGGGTTGAATGTTAGTGTATGGATATCCGTCAGAACCACAGAAGTACATAGGCTGCGCACATTCTGTGCTGAAAAAGAAAGATCGATGATCGTGTGTCATGCTATCCCATCATTTCACTTCTATCACGTACTTGAGCACACATAGGGTGGAACAAGATCACTTCGCACCGCCTACCCTTAAGTAATAAAGAAGACCGCTGCACCCCATACTTATTGGAGACCTGGTGTTTGTCATCATTGGGTGGAGCGCACTCGAATTTGATCGCTCGCCGAGGTACATCCTGAGGGAGCTTTGCCACTTGGTGGGTGATTCGGGAATCTGCGAGGGTACTCCTATGCTGGTACATTCCAAGTTCTAATCTTTCGACCCCTATATGTTGGGTCATGCTCGATCCCAGTAGCTGTCCTTAAACTGAGACTGTAAGGGGGAATGACCTAACCTTCCATAAGCTGTTTCCCTCCCTTCAGGGCAAACTTCGGGTCTAGCACCTCAAGGCTTACAGTTCAGGGTTTAGGGTTTGGGGATTTCGGGCGCTGCTAGGCGTATCTGATCAAAGCAGTGGCAGACAGAATCCCGGCAAAGCAGGCAAGCTCGAATGTAGCCGAGAAGTACCGCCTTCTCGGACGATGGTCCACATATACCCTAAACCAGACCCCTGATTACTAAACCCCCTCCCCTTAATAGGGATTATAATCAAGATCCTAATACTCAGGCCCTTAAAAGGAGGGGGTCTATTCATCAGGGGTCTACATTACCTGAAGCCCTAAACCCTAACCTCAGTAAACCTGAAGGATCTCTGTTGCTTGGCATTGCTGGTGCCCGGTCAGACCTCCGTCTGAAATCCTTGTCCTGCAAGAGGCGCCCACCACACATCTCCACACGTTATCAACGGTGGGTTTAAAACGGCTCCTTCAAAAATGCCTGCTACGCGCAGGGGCTTCTCCTCACCATTTAGAATGCAAATTGCCAAGCTAGCCTCCGAAGCTCAGGTATGGTCATGGGAATTTATACCTGGAGCGCCTGGTGTGAGGGACTTCTACTGCCCCGCGCCATGCATGCCGTCGCCCAGCCTAAGATCACTGTTTTGGGGGTGTAGGGTTGGAGGACTCAGGTTTGAGATTGAACAGGCAGGGTTCAAGGCTACAGCTCTCCCTGAAGCGGATAACATGAAAGAGCAAAGGGCAAGATCCCGCTGGTCTTCCAGTCTTGTTTCTGCGGTAAGGTGGGTGGCTTAGACGTGGATTTTTGATACCATTGGTGGAACTTCAGGTTTTGTAACTAGTTCCATAGTTCTGTTCGTGTTCAACTTTCGGAGTTCGCTGCAGTTTGAGCAGAACTCGGGTCAGTACAGGGCCAAGGCTGAGGTCGAGTTGCATGAGTGATTTTTTTTGCGGAATTGGGCCCATATGAAGCAAGAGGACTCTGTGGATTTAGGAGCCATTCATACGTGTCAGTTGTAACTCTACTTACTAGGGCGTTGGTGTTTGGGTTCAGGGCTTTCAAACCACGACGTTTGTGGTGACCCGTGCCTATATGGGTGCTTGGGTTGTGAAATGCAATAAGCATTATGCAAACTTCCCACCGTGCCACAATTCTGGTAACTCGAAGACACTCTGAACCATTCATCAAAATGGGTCAGGCCAAGCTACCAATGTCAGTCTGAACTCCTGAAAGTGGGTTATTTAGGGGATTGCATAGGGGAGTATTATGGGGGTTATCAAGGGGATACTAGGAGGTTAGACAACCGCTCAGTATAGTCCATATGACTCCGCAAAAGCTCCCTATAGCCCAACTGCCAGAGTTCGAGAACCGCTCACCTTGTTTTGAACCCAGATCTCAAACCCCACCGCCTCACCCCAAGAACCCTTGGAGCTTCCCAAAACTTACTGCGGGGTAGTGGGGAATAAGGGAGAATGTATTATGGATATTCCATTGTAGAGGGCTTATGTAGGGATCATGTAGGGAATATGGGGATTACATAGGGATTGTCTTCCCTTTTTCCCTAGACACTGTAGACCCTAGGCCCTACACCCTAACGCTGAACCGTAAGAACTACCTAAACCCCCAAAGTAGGTAAAATATTGACCCAAAACCCCCAAATATTGCCCAAAAGGCCATTAATTATTCTACATACTTTTGGGGGTCCGGGCAGACCCTAAGCCCTACACCCTAACCCTGAACCTTAACAACTAGTAAGAAAAGGTCCGGCTCCGCTTCATCCTCCAGCAGACGCTCGAGAAGCGTGAAGCCGACGATCGCTGTTTGGCGGAGGACGGCTCCGAGTGTTTAGGGGGTTTGGGGGTTTAGGGGTTTAGGGTTTAGGGGGTTTAGGGTTTAGGGGTTTTAGGGGTATAGTCCCCCTTAAGTAGATAGAATATGGTTTTTTTGGTATATTATAATAGGATCCCCGTATACCCCATATTCTATCTACTTAATGGGGACTATATTTTTAGGGTTTAGGGTGCTCAGGGTTAAGGGTTTGGAGTGCTTAGGACTTACAAGGGTTTAGGGTTTAGGATTCTTGGGGTTTAGGGTCTTTAGGGTTCGCGGTTTAGGGTTGAGTGTGCCTAGGGTGTTTCGGGCTTACAAGGCTTAGTGTCCAGGATGTTCAGGGCTTATATCAAGGGTCTCAGGCTTGTGCCCCTGGGCTGTGGTATCCTTTTAAGGGACCCTAGCGGATTATAGTGGTTCATTTACGGGCTGCATTAGGGCCATATTGGGGGAAACCTTTTAGGGGCAAGACCTTAGGGGTACAACGCAGGGACCCTTGAATATAGGGCCTAAGGTTTAGAGTGTTTAGGGTGGATGAGGGCTGAGGGCTTGTGATGTTTCTTCAAGGCTTCAAGTGTTTGGGATGGAAATTTGTTCTGGCCTCGAGTTTGGAGTTCCATGCTGGCTCTGGGGATGGAATTTAGAAGAATGAATCATTCGCTTTAAATCCTTATACCGCTATAGTTAAGAAAAAAGCTCAATGAGGGGCTGTCCTTTTCCTTCTAGGGGCACGCTACACATCAGGGAGCTGTATTACAGGTACTTCAAAAGGGCCCACACTTTTGACAAGAGTTGACAGCTTCCAGGTAGTATGTGCTTGGGGGATGGCAGGAAGCAAAGTTTAGGGTTTAGGGGTCACAGGGTTTAGGGGCTTGGGGTTTAGGGTTTAGGGTGTAGAAACCCTAAGCCCTAAACCCTACATCCTCCCAAAGTTGCAGGAGCTAGAGTCTAACCTTCTCAAAGCGGAAGGGTGGTGGTTATACAGGGGATGATACAGGTAAGTATCATCAGGAGTATTAAGGGGGATACTATGAGTTTAGACTATAGCTCACATGGAACCCCGCATATGCGTTTTATAGGATAGACAGTGGTCTTGATAAAGCCCTTGTTTGTCAGCTTCATGTTAGTCTGGGAAGCTGTAATGGTTTAAGTCCTGAAGCCTGAAGCCCCACGGCTGAAGGCTTATGGATTCAATTTAGGGTGTAGGGTTTAGGGTTCCTTGGGGCTTGAAATCTATGTGCATAGTACCTACTTTGGGCTGCTTGGACCCTTGTGGTAAGGGATCAAGAATCCTAGGCCCCAATCCTCTGCAAGGGGGGCAGGCAGCGGAGAGGGAACGCTTATATGATAAATCCCCTCCCCTTGCCATCTAGCGTCTAGAATGGTACTAAGGTGTGAATATTTGTGATCGGGTTGAGGCACTGGATTCGTAGAGCTGGATTACTAGAAAGATCCAAGTTGTTTGTGAGCTTCCAGCAGGGGCAACAGGCAAACTGCATGAGGCTTGCCATCCCATCTGTAGCTTAAGGGTATGGGTGAACTCTCCCACCTCCTCGCCCCCTTGAATAAGGAATACCTCCAATAGCATATCATATTATCACATATAGATACATATAAGTATAAATGAGTATATGCATATATTTATAGATATTGGTGTTGGGGGAATAATCATGATTAGGAGAGGCGGGGGCTTAATATTCGGGGGAGGGGATTCCTTTGTGGAGCCGTAGGGCTTGCCCTTAAGCTTTTCCAAGTGGAGTCCTGCAACCGCAGCTGTCATCCACGCGGTTTAGGGTTTAGGTTTTGGCCCAAATCCCTAAAATTCAGCATGTGTTGCTAGCCCAGCTTAGGCATCCTTTCATTTTAGGTGTCAATGCTCTGTGAGCCGTTTAAATGTATGATCTTTTTGCAGCTATTTGATCATATAGGTTTGTGCGCATTTATGATTATATATGTAACAATAATAATAGTAGTAAGAAGGATAAGAAGAAGATTTATCTGAAGAAACATCATTTTTATACGCAAATGTTTACACTTTTCATGTGTCAGCCAAGCTTAGCCAAGTAGAATCCACCGTCTAGTAGCAAGGTGGACCTCAATGCGCTTACCCCTATCTACTTCAGGGGGCCTATAACCCCAATATATACCCTACGTATTACAATATAGTAGCCCTACAATCCCCAATATACCCCCAATATGCCCCCTATAATACCTATATAACATATAGCCCTTATAATCCCTGTAGTTTCCATTTTTCCATTATCCCAATATACCCCAATATACCCCTAGTAGCAAGGTGGACCTCAATGCGCTTACCCCGCAAGAGCTGGAAAGGGAGAACGAGCTGCGCTCTGAGTTCTGGGCTTCAGGCTTAGGGTTTTAGGGGTTTAGGGTTTGAGGGTTTAGGGGTTTAGGGTTTAGGGTTTTAGAGGTTTAGGGTTTAGGGTTTTAGAGGTTTAGGGTTTAGGGTTTTGGTTGTAGGGGTTTAGGGTTTAGGTCAGGCCTGTATGGCTAGCCAGTTGATGCGAGGCGTGCGTCCAGGCTTTCACAGATGTACTTGAGGCTCATTTAGGCACGTATTTGTCAATATTTGTTCAGAACCACCTCAAGTTTCAGAGAACGTTCCCTAAAAAGAGCAAGCTGCAAGTTCGCAGTTGTGACGTGGCATCCGCAAATAGGCTTATGACCCTAGGTTTGTTTGGGTTTCGGTGCGCTGCGCGACCTCATTCTGTAGAGGTGACATCCCGGAACCACAACCCTAAGCGCTAGGCCCTAAACCCCCCAAACCCGGAACCCTCAACCTTGCAATGCTGTCATGGCCGTGCAAGCTACAAAAGCCCTCAACCCGACACGAAGCCCAGGATCCCAAGCAGCTGGACCCTGAACACTCGTAGCTTGGTAGTTTCCACAGATAGGCGGAACCCAACAAAGATCCCCAGACACGATAATCCTTATTATAGGAACACCCCAAAAAGTATTCTAATTTTTCGGAAATTCCAATTTCTGTCCAAGGCGAAGGCGCATGCTTTGGTTGGGCCATGAGTCAAACCTTCGCCGCTTGTCTGGTTATGGGTTCGGCACCCCGCGAGAAGGTTTCCCCTGGAAATGGTTCAGCCGTGAATCTGTTCTCCTGACTAAGCCTCTTCCCCAAGAAGCACCCGGTTTGTCCGCCCAACGAGAAATTGAAGGCGGTTCCAACCTGCTGGCTACGACTGGGCCCAGTGACAGGGATGTTAGGGCCCTTAACCTCGGCGCTGAAACCCTGAATCTAGGTGTTGACATAAGTTTGTCCCGGATTATGGACAAGGGGCTGGGTGTGTTGGGCGGGGAGATATCCTAGCAGCAACGCCACAAGTGGACGCAGAGAAAAGCACCAACCAGCCGTGTTGAACGTCATGGTTGTTGGCAATGGTGCTTTCCCTGAAAAACCTGCCAAAGTCAACATGTGCGGGCGACGGTCACGAGCGCAATTTTGAACTGCGTTGCGGGCAAGGAACTTAAAGAAAGCTACCGCCATGTGGATAGAGAGCGAAAAAGATCTGATAGTAGTCATGCGTGAATGTAAGTTCCCTAGCAACCCAGCACGTAAAGCACCCCTGCTCTGCCCAGCTGAGGAGCTCAGCTTCAAGATTGGCTTTCTTTGTCTTTAGACCAGGCGCGTTTGAGCAGCGGCCTCCAGGAGGTTTGGATCTTAAGCTAGGTAGGCGGCATTACAATATGGAAGTTCTGAAAACGAGTACAGTAATGTCAGAAGCAGCAGCAGTAGCAGCAGAGCAGTGTAAGACTTAACAACGTTGCCCCAGGCAGTCCATGGCTCAGCCCACAATTTAGGGGTTATATAGGAATTAAATGGGGGTTATATAGGGATTAGATATAGGGGTTATGTTGGGGTTATACGGGGGGACGGGGGGGAGGGGGTTATATAAGGGTATATTACAACGTAGAGTCTCGTAACAGTTTGTTTTTTTAGTTAATGGGGTTGCAGTTAAGGTGTTCAAATTAAGTTACTGCAATAAGGAACCCCTGTTATTTGCTATAACATAAAGTCTCCTAAGTGATGAATTTTCGCAACATGAAAAAACTATTCAAGTCATAAAGTCTAGCAACATCCTTTGCTTTATTGCATTATTGTTACTAATCTTGCTCCTCCTGCTGCTGTTGCTGGCCTTTTTGAAGGGGTCATGGGGGATAGATAGGGGATGTTGTTGAAAATAAGGGTTCCTTTAAAGGGTTTTACGAGGATATATTGGGGATGTGTAGGAACAGTGGAAAAGAAATTGGAAACTAGGGGCCTACATAAATGCAGAAACAAAAAGAAGGTTGGAATTAATCCGGACGCCAAAATTTACCCTGCGAGTAGGGCCTGGGTAGGGGACTGTTGGCTTCCACTGGACCCTAGGTCTTCGTGATGGGTAATACGAAGTAGTGATAGCACAGTAGCTTTGAACTTGCTGCCCACCATGGGTTGGAAGGGCCAATGAGGCGAGGAATCTGGTGTGGTTTATGCCCATGGCGGGAACACTCAAGGAAGCAGTATTCAGGCAGAGGTATGTGAGTTTGGAGACCTGGCCAACCATGGAGGGGCATTTAGGCAGCACTTCACGGAGGTTTGAACTGTGAATCTAGATACGCAGTTCGGCGGACTGGGTCCTGATAGCCATTTAGATATACCTGCTATGGTAGAAACTGCGGTGGGATCTGGGAAGATGTCCTAAACCGAAGCCCTAAAGCAAGCAAGCAGTAATTCCACCGTGATTCCTCGTGAAGAGTTCGAACTGCAGCACACAACACACAACCCCAAACTTCAGATGACAACCCTTCATCCCTTAATGGAGTTTCAAGCCCCAGAACCCTCAGCCCTACCCAGACCCTCGGGAGCATCTAGAAGGTAGAACTCCAGATGCTGCCCTATGCTAATATGGGGTGATTTCTAGGAAGCCTTAAGTGGGATCTACTATCTAGGTGTGCCCTGGATAAACTGTGGCCTTAAAGCCGAACTTTGACCGGGGAGCATAGGCATACGGGTCCTTGATACATACCCCCAGAATGGGCTCACGTAAGTACTCTGTGCCAGAGGATTATGCACTGGCGCGCCGCAAGGTGCAAAAATGTCGGATTTTAGTTGGACAAACGACAATATCAAAACTTGTAGTAACAAAAGCGATAAGGTACAAAAAATGGAACAACGATATGAGCAACACCAGATGATAACCAAATTTCTAGATTTTGGTGTCAAGCATGGAGGAACGGTTTTCTTGTTTCTCTGGCGCGCAGCCCTGAACTCACAAACTCGCTTTTCTCGAGCCCTGCAGCCTGATCCTGAACTTGAAGCCCTAAGGATGACATAGCCACCCCCCTAAGGCCCTAAGGGTCCAAGGACCCAAATAAGAGGGCCTTAGGGCCCATATACCATTTATATTATTATAGTATTTGGGTCCGAAAACCCTATTATTAATTACTTTATTTGGGTCCTTGGACCCTGAGGGCACTTCCTGATGATCGCCTCCACCCTCTAATTATCATTAAGTATTCCCCCTGAGATAATGATACCACATTTGGGGGGAATTATCAGGGCAGATAGGTTGTAGGGTCTAGGGTTGAATGACCCTGAAATTTGACTGAAGGACATTCCCAATCACGTCCTCCTCTTCCTGCGGCCCTGCGCTACGGAAGTTTGTCCTGACTTGGCCATAGGGTAGGGGCAAGCACTCAGGTTGTAATTTAGGGTTTAGGGATTGTCTCCTATACCTCCCCCATAGCCACCATTCTAGATATTAGATAACTCTCATACTTCGTAATATGCCTAGGACTTGGTTGGGATTTCTGAAACTTTGGTGTGCTGTTTTGGCGTGTAGTATGGGATTTCAGGACGAGGCTCTTGTTGAGCCACTTCAGGTTCTCTCAGGCCCTAAACCTTAATCGGCGTGTTAGGAAACTCCTTGGGATCCTTGGGATGCGCCTAGGGTTTAGGGTTTAGGGTTTAGGGGTTTAGGTTTAGGGGCAAAAAGGGGTTTAGGGTTTAGGGGTTTAGGGTTTCAAGTTTTGTGGTCGGATTTCATAGTTCTTTGTTTGTGGCGTCAGGTGCTGCTTCATGGGGTTGAATAGACGCCGCAAATGGCAAGCTGAACGTGTCCCTCAACACCAGGCCCTAAACCCTAAACCCTAAGCTTGGCAACTTAGGTCTGGGACTTTGTCCGGGGACCTTTTCAGAGGGCTTTTAAAAGGGAGCTTCTCAAACGGCTGTACAGGAGTATACGGAGTTCAGGGTCTAGAGTTGGGCCCAGGTTGAGGATTAGGGCCAAGGCAGACTTTTTCTTAGTACCTTGAACCGGTTGGGTTAAAAAATCTGGCGCACCATTCTTTATGCGCAAAGATCATACTTGCAAACCAGACATCCATGAAAGGAATCGCGCACTTGAGCCCTGCTAATCATGGCAAGCAGACCCGTAGCACGACAAGGAGCCAGCTAAGAACGACAAAGCTCTGACAGGGACAAGGGGTCGGTAGGGGCTTATAGGGATGTATTGTTTTTAGGATGTGGGGTTTAGGGGTTTAAGGGTCATCGGCACAAGAAACAAATATCATCCAGGATCTACAAGAGGTTCCAGCTTTGCTGAGCCAAGATGAGCGTGACCACATCTTGAGACACTTGGCTCGAACACTTACAGGTTGAATGGTATGTATATTCATCTTACTTGTAACCTGAGCGTATAGAACCCAATGAACATAAGGGCAATTCTGACCCCTAGTATGTTTTGCCTTAGCAGAGGTTCAAAACTCTAGGCCCTCGTGTGAAGGTGAGAGTCTATCTCACAACGTTTTAGCACATCCTTGTGTTTCAGGTTTGTGGTCCAGGAATTATAGTCCCCCTTAAGTAGATTTGCCCCTAATATTACAGGGCTTCCTTGCCCGCCCCCTCCCCCAACCCTCCTCCCTAATGTATACCCTAATGTATATACTCCGAACCGTGTTTAGTATTAGTGGGGGTGGGGTGTATTTATCGTATGACCCGAACAACAGGAATGTGTATGTACTAGTATCCTATGGAGATTGAATAAAATCGGATGAAAATCCGTATGTTGATGAAAAAGCCGATTGAAACTAGCTAAAATTGCAATACAATCGTTGAAATCGGATGAAAACCCCAGTAAAACCATTTACAATCAACTTAGAAGCGTAGTCAAACCCATTAAAATCAATTTTATACCAAATTAACATTTAGTTACCGAGCAAACCAATTTAGATAAAAGCTAATCACGAACTCTCTAAGGGGGTTTAAAATCGCAATGAACCAATGAAGATCGTGATGAACCCAATACAAATCGCATTCAGCTTCTGTATAACTTCCTTGATTTATAAACCCATTCAGAGACGATCAAAATCTAGCAAATCAAGGAGATCCTGAATCCTTCAGAGTCATGCTCTCGACCCTCCGTTATATTCAGAGGATCCGAGCCGTAATTAAGTCTTGGCCCTTCTAAAATTAGTCTTGGGCAGATTTCAGAATCTGTAATTCTGCAGAAGCCGTATTTGATATTAGGAGCCGGGGTTTAATCTCAGGGGGAAGCGACTAGAATACGGGGTATATGGGGATGTTATTATGATATTTGGCAGTCCATATTCTATCTACTCAAGGACGGTTATATCCATAGGGCGCATGTTCTGTTACTCCCGTCCCCCTTGTCTTGAACCCCCCAACCCACGCAATATTAAATGCTCTCATTGTGGTATACTACAACATATTGGGAACATTTAATATTTGGGGGGTGGGGGGGTTATTAGGGGAGGGGACCACAAGCCTCGAATTACTGACCAGGCTCTGCAAACTTCACCCCATGGCTTCCCAGGGTTTTGAAGATTTTCAAGTTGCATCACCACCTTCACCGTTTATACTTTTGGTAGTTTCCCAAAATAGCGGGCCCAGATATTATAATCCTTATGATAAGGAGCCCCCTCTATGTGGAGCCTTGGCCCATCAAGCCTACCAAAACGGCATCCTAGCCCTGAAACATTACAAGCAGCCAACCTAAACCCAAAGCCGTATTAGGCCTTTGACTGCTACAAGGGTCCTCAGCTCGTCACATGTTTTTTTTTGGGGACTCCCATGGACTTTCCTTGTGTTGCTTCAACGGAATTATGCGGCGACGCAGCACCTCTACGCAACCCTAAGCCCCACACCCAGGATCCCAAATCCTAAGCCTAAATCCCTCAGCCCTGAACCCCGGATCATCCGTGAATCCGGAAGTTGACACTGAATCTTAAACCTTGGGTACTGCCCCCACCCAGTAACAATCTATATTAGAGGTCCTATTAAGGGCTATATGGGTGGTTGTCAAAATTATGGTCCCTTTTTGGGTCCCTATTATAATACGGCCCTTAATAGTTGGGGTGCCCAAAAAGGGACCATAATTTTGACAACCACCCATATATAACCATATTATTAGTATTATCCAACTGTTACTGAGGCGGGGGCAGTACCCAACCTAAACCCCATCAATGCATCCCTGAGCTCCCCAATGTTTTGCTGAATTCTAAAAAGCCCTAAGGGTCCAAGGACCCAAATAACAGGGTTTTAGGGCCCCAATACCATTGATATTATAGTATTTTGGCCCTAAAGCCCAGTTACTTGGGTCCTTGCTTGGACCCTTAGGGAAGACTGCAGGAACGTATGCCTTCAATCTAGATGGCACACCCTAAGACCTGCCTCCATGATGCGAATTATGCATCAAGCCTAGATATTGGGTACTGCCCCCCCTCAGTAACAGTTGGATAATACTTATACTATGATTTTATATAGCCCTGAATAGGACCCCTAATATGGACTGTTACTGGGTGGGGGCAGTACCCAACCTAGATATTCCACCCCAGAATACCCCAAATAGCCCTTTCGGAGCACTGCTCAAAAGGACTTCAGAATGACAAGACATATGAAGGGCCCTAAACTTCTGAGACCTGAGATTCTAGGCATAGGGACTGCCATACTCCCTAAACGCTCAGGATGCAGAGTCAGGCCGCATTGTGGTATGGGTGTCAAAGGTGTCAGAGCAATCCCACCCGCAATCCCACAAGATCTTTCATGCAGATCAACAGAATCCTTCATTTGAGGCTGAAATCATACAATCCGCACAAGAGAACTTCATGGAAATTAGGACGAACCTCTTAGAGCTGAAAAGAGCCATTCTTGAAGGACTCCAGGGCCGTTTCGCAGACGCTCAAATCCACAAGTGGCTCCGGCAGAACGTGGACAGGTCTGCCCAAGCACCGAAGAAGGCGGGCGAGGGGTTTCCAAAAAACAGCGTCTACTGTTTGGGGGGTTCCTATAGGCAGGACCCCAATTTTGGGCAACACCTGCTCAACGAGGAGTCACAAGAGCGGTATCTGCATAGCTGCGTATGTATGTATGTATGCATGCATGTATGTATGTATGTATGTACGTATGCACTCAGATCTACACATGGGACGGTCGCAGGATGAGGATTTAGGGTTTGGATGCTACAAGATGTGATGCAATTTCTGCGAGGATGCTAGAATTTGTTGGGATTTCAAGTACCTAAACCCCAAAAGTATGCAAAATCATGGCCTGTTGGGCTATTCTTAAGGGTTCTGGGTTTTGATTTTACTTATTTTTGGGGTCCAGGTAGTTCTGCCAGACCACGGGTAGCTAGCACTGTTGACGCGGGCTCAAGCTGACTGATTGGGGTCCTGTACTAGTCCCTACATGAGCTATAGTCTAAACTCCTTAAAGGGGATTATATAGGCTTTAGGGTTTAGGGTCTAAATTCCATAAATGGGGTTATGTAGGGGATTATATAGGGGAGTAGTATGGGGGTTATTAAGGGGAATACTAGGAGTTTAGACTATGCTCATATAGCCGCGTAAGGTAGTCCCTCTGGGTCAGATTCTCTTGGGATTCTGTGAGATCTTTCCCTAAGGGTCCAAGGACCCAAATAATAAGGTTTTCGGACCCAAATACTATAATATAAATGGTATTTGGGCCCTAAAGCCCTCTTATTTGGGTCCTTGGACCCTTAGGGTTTGAGTTCACCATGAGGTGAAGCAGGACGTGGCGAGGAAGTTAGACTAAGGGACCAAATCACCTCCCGATAGTATTCAAATTGGGCACCCCCCCTGGAATTAAATCTTCCTCGTGGATTATAGTATACCACAGTGGGAACATTTAATGTTGGCGGCGTGTCGGGTTGAAATATTTTGTGGAGGTGATGAATTTGAAAGGTCGCTGACTGGAGCTGTCTGGCTTGCCTCCCAAACTTGAAGCCAGACTAGGGCCATCTAGGGTGCTTTATATTGGGGTCTAAATTGATGGAAAACCCATGCAACCCGGTTTCCACGTCATGTTCATTCTGAACTGAATTCTGAATTATAAGTAGGTAACATCCTAAATCCGACATAACCCTTATATCATACCTCCACATATAATTCACGAAATCCGCCAAAGAAAGGCAAAAGTGTTCTTTCGCACTAAACCCCCAAGCCCTTAAACCCAAACCCTAAACCCTAAACCCATGATTTGCCCTGAGGATGAGGAGAGTGACCTGGTACAGAGCTCAGTGCTTAAAGCGGTGTTAGGCTAGGGCTCAGGATGCGAAGTTCCGAGTGTAGGGGAAGGGATGCTGAATGTTAAGGATCTGTAAGATGTGAATGTAGTTGAAAGTTTGGATCTGAATTCAAGTGATCTGTAAGATGTAAATTTAGTTGAGTTTCGAATTTGAAGTCAAGTCTGTGAAGGCTGGGTTCGGGCTTACTGCAGCACCATGTGCTGCCACATTGCTACCTGGAGTCTATGTTCTGCGTCATGCGCACCGCTGCCAGCACAAGAAGGAGTGGAACCTGGAAACAAGGCACGTCTTACACTTTGACACCCAGCAATTGTTGATCGTACTGCAGTGAAGGCTGCTATTGTGATCATTCCTGGCTTGGTTGGAAATTTTGAAGTCATTGCTTGCTGGGGGTGAGTTAGGACTAAACAAACTGGTTATGTAGGGAGTATATATATGGGGAGTACATTCCCTTCTTCCATGCTAAGCACTGGTAAGCACACCCTAAACCCTGAGCCCTCAGCAGTTCGCTTTCGTTTCCACTTGGTGTTGTTCGTTCAAGAATGGCGCCACGACATGTGAAGTGCCAAAAGACTGGATCGCTGTTGAGGAACTGAAATGAACTATGATAAGGAAGCCTTATCTCTTACTATATACCAATCTTACGATAACTTTGTTTAAGGAATTAACAGCAGCCCAGAAGATCTGCAGATCAGGACAAGAGCCTGATGCAGCAGGACATCGAGAGCCTCAAGGTGCGCCGTAGCAACAAGTAAGACATTCTTTTCCAAGAGATGCGAATCCGATCTCAATGGCTTAGGGGTCAGCGTTTTGGATGTCACTGTCTGTATATTTTGGCAGTATAGTAGTTTCACGTTTATATACCCCCTTACAAAATCCCTATACAATCACGATATAAACTCCTTGGAGCTGGGGCCTTTGAAGCTTAAAATTGCATGGCACCGACTGGATGAGTACTTGTGGCGCTTATCGGAGGTTTGGAAATCTCGGGCCCAACCCCCGGAGCTTTCTCTAGGAGCCCAAATAGGGATGCTGTAGGATGATAAGGATTATGTAGGGCTGTATAGGAATTGTATCGCCCCAAAAGTGGAGAATCACATGCAAAAGAACATGGAAAATCTATTGGTAACTGGTGTTATATAGGAGTTCTATAGGGGGAACTGCCATATCAGCTACTTCAAAAAGACCTCACAATTGTATTGCTAATCATTTGAGCCCCTGTAGTGCCGCCTGTCGGACATCCCTCGGGATCTTAATTTGGCCTGAGAAATCATGGGACGCAAAGGGGTCCTTACGCAAAGCAGCATTCCCTCAAAGGATGCCTGCATGAGGGCAGCTTCTCAAAACAATGAGTACCTATCACGCTTGTTTAGGGGAGGGTACATCAGACATCATGGAGCCTACAGCGCAGCTTGCAAGGGTAGAGGCCATCATCTGTTGAGTTTCGGATTTGCACAGAATTTCAGATAACTGCAGATTTTGTGGCTTTGGGGTGTAACGTGTTGGCTTATGTAAGGTTTTCAGTGGGGTTGTCTTAGTAGTGGATAGTAGGGAATGAAGAAGTGGGCTATAGCCAGCAGGTGCCATTTTAGGGATCCAGCCTTCATTCCCTGCTAACCATCTTCAAGTTTAGGCTCGGGCAGCTGTTGCATAGGCTGGTGGTTGCAACCTGGGCATACGCGCATCATATCTACCTTAAGAACTCACGAACAAGTTCTACATTCGCTGGAGCGGATGGTGCAAGGGTTCAGGCGTTGACACTGAAAGTCGTACATGACCTTCATACACTAAACTCCCAGGGTCATGTCAGAGCCTTGTAGCATCAACAGTACGACTCTGTTGAATGCTGTCTCCTGACCTTACTGAACTCATTTTTTCTTGCCACTTCAATAATGACCTTATCCAGCTTGTGTAGATACAGAAAACCAAGGTCTATACCCCAAGGCCGCTCAGCAACAGGGAGCCCCAAAGGGGACGCCACGAAAACTTCTGTCTTGCTTAAATTGTCAAAGGGGTTTACATGGGCCAAGAAACTGAAAAGCAGGACTGGGAGACTTATCCCTCAATGCCAGCTTTCATGCCCACAGTTCAAGCCTAAACTCTGAAGCGCTTCTGGCTCAAGTATGAGGTTTTACTGGCTAAGGGCTTTAGGGTTTACTCTATCCTAAAAGCTTATCCTTACCTTCTGGCTGGCTGGTGCCAGGAACATGTCGAAGAAGTACGTGCGGAGGTCGGCGAGATAGAGGCAACAAAGGCGCGGCAGATCACAACTTACTGGGTTAGTACGGAATAAAGAAATATCTTACATAGGGATTATGTTGGGATTATATTCCTTACTCCGTAAGCAGGAGGCATATTTAAGAACTTTCGGGCTAATGAAGCTGAAGGGGTCCATGGTTTGCTGTGAATGTAATGGCCGCGAAGTGGATTGAAGCTCTGACTTTAGGGTGAAAAATAGCTCTCAGTACAGTGTGTGGCAGAATCTTTGGGTGCGGCGTCCGTGCATTCGAGTAGTACGGATAACACAGATTGTAGCGTGGCATTGGGTGTTTAAGGCTTTCTTGAGGTCCTCATGTGTTTCCGATGTATTCTTTTCTCAAGGCTAAGCGGCGGCATCTTACTCTTGAAACCTGCTTGACACCCTAAACCCTCAACCATACACCCAAGTTCCAGGCCCTTAACTTGAAGGCCAGCAAGCCCATGAGTCATGCACCTAACGGCTCGAGCCCTGCAACAGGTGAGACTATAGTCCCCCTTAAGTAGATAGAACATGGGGTGTATGGGATCTTATTATACTATACCCGAAGCCATATTCTATCTACTTAAGGGGGACTATACCTAGATCAGGGTTGAAGGGTTTACGAAGGAAGCTAGCGCACCTTTTTTTTGCAAAGCAGGCCCAATGGGCTGACCAGTTCTTTCCGAACTGGTAAGCCCAACCTCGCGAAATTCTAAACAGTAGGGATTTTCGCAAGTAGCCCTCATAGAATGCTTGAGGGGGACCACTTCTAATATTTGCCTAATCCTGTGGCATATGATTATAGATATGCCCCAAGCGCCACCAAAGCCCTGCTGTCGCCCCCGAACTCTGAACGCGAAGCCTCAACCCCAAACCCTAAACCCAGTTAGAGAAAAACTGAACCCCTAAACCCTAAACATATCACAGCAAGCGCTCACTGGCCAGGAGCAGCTGAAAGACTTTGGCCAAGTTCTGAAGTCGATAGGCGTCTTGTTTCAATTGGGCAGGAGGGCTAGATGGGGGGTTCTCAAACTAAGGGTACCCCTTCGGGGGTACCCATAGTAAGGACTCTAGCATATTTAGGGTCTAAATTGGGGTCCCCCCATTTTGGGAAACCACCACAGACTATGTTTGGTGTTCCTACTATTCCTATTATTCCTGTTGTTCTCAGAATTTTCCAGCATTTAAAGGTGAGGTGGACCGCCCCACCCAGTCATAGAGACGACAAGAGACAAGAAGGATTATTTTAGGGACCTCTTATATTCCTATCATACCCCCAAACCCTAAACCCTATATCAGGGTCCTCTTAAGGGATGGGTGTGTAAGAAATGGGAGATGTGAGGGTTCCGAGGCGAGGCCGTCTGTGATCTTTTGGGGGTGCAATGGAAGTAAGATAGGGGGTGTAGGGTCTAGGATTTAGGATTTCAGGGTTAAGGATTTTAGGGTTAAGGATTTTAGGGTTTAGGGCCCAGGGTTTAGTGTTGTAGGGTCTAGGGTTTTGAAGCTCAGGTTTAGGGCTTAAGGTTGCAGGGTTTAGGGTTCTGAAACTTCACCAACATGTTAATGGTACCTTTGAAGGGGGTTTGTATGAACAATACAGGGGTATAGAGCGCGTAGAGCGGGCCCGGTATATGTAATGCTTTGTAGGGTTTGTGTACCTGCGCCTGGGGCATGAGAAAGCCCGATGCAAAAGGTTGTCTATTCGGTCAGGGTTTAATTTGGTCAGGCGACGATGAGCTGCTGACGATTTTTGACGCCTTGGCCAATGACAAAGGCCTCCCACTTGAGTGGTTCTTCAAAGTGTCAGGGTGCAGCGTTCAAGGGGTACCTGGAACTTGGAACTACAACAAGACCCGGTGAGGCAGATTCTTAGAACAACTTGTTCCCGCTAGGCTGGGGTTGGCATAATCCACATTACCATAATTACCAGAATGTATTATATATCATACTATAATATACCGTGATATACCATAACATACCATAATATACTGTAGTATGCCAGACAAGACAGCATCAAAGCTTACTGGCAGAGCTAGCAAACTTGTCCTGCTTTCTCTGCTCGTGCGGCGTGCGGCGCCAGCTTTGCGACAACCAGATGCCTCCTCTAATTGCTGGTAGGGTTTAGGGGCTTAGGGTTTAGAGGTGAGGCGGACCGCAGGACTTTAGCCTTTCTGACTGGTTCTGATAGCAAGACAAGATGGGACCTTGTCAGCACAAGCGTTCTAAGAGTCAATCCATCGTAGTCCCTTACGATCTCTATGAACCCTGGGCAGCTCATGATAACTACTATTTTGATTGTTATTACGATTCTTTTTATTACTGTCATTACTAATCTTATTACTATTATTGTTACTATTATTTACTGTTGTTATTACTGTTATTACATGCTCACGTCCCCGAAGGCGTGGTGGAGATTGATGCGCTCGAGAAGATACTTGGCCAGCAACCCTGAACTACCTGGACCCCCAAAGTATGTAGAATAATTGCCTTTTGGTCTATATTTGGGGGTTTTGGGCCAGTATTTTACCTACTTTGGGGCTTTAGGTAGATCCTAAATTCCCAGACCCTGGGCCGTAGACGGTCGACCTACGAGCACAACTCCTGAAAGGTTGGGGAAGGGTGCAGAAGATCTTGCATTCCAAGCAGACATGCTCCTTGAAGCTCCTGTTTTCTATTGCATCCACAAGAACCATTGTGACATTCTAGGTATTCTAAGCAATATGGGTTTAGGGCTTAGGGTTTCGCCATGGCCCCATAAAGCAATCTTCAGATGTGCGCGCCTGCCCTGACCTCATCTCGGGAACCAAGTGTGGAACATTCTGCTGAGGAAGATTCAACAGCATCTTGGAGGAAAGCTCCCTGACGTCTCTGCCTTACACATCTCCTTGGCACCTGGGCAGCTTTTGAAGGTCTAGCTTGTAGGGTTCAAGTCCTCGGGTTCGTTCAGGATGTAGGGTTTCAGTGGGATATCTGCGTCAAAGCGCGAGGATGAGGGCCTTCAAACATCTGAAATTACGGTGCAGCGGGGCTGATGCAGATAAGTATCTTACATACATGGACTTACCAGCAAGTACGCCCCATGACAAATGACGCGGAAAACTCTACAGCCACAGATGCCAGGCCTTCAAGCCCTCACAGTCAGACTTAGCCAGATCATTGAAGCATTCATGAACTGAGCCTTGTTGAGCCCGGTGAAGGCGCTATGGAGTTCGTTATGGTCTCCCTTTGGGAAGAAGCGTATAATCGTATCAACAACGAAACATGTAGCAGACAATCGAGAAGGATATCAAAATGGCATGGACTTGCATAAATGCCTGCAAGGCTCTGCCTGCAGAAATTCTCGAGGCCCACGAGCTCCTAAACCCTACATCCTGATCCCGACATATTCAGGAGAGCTTCTACAGCGAAGACTCTGCCGCCCACATCAGCCGGGAGGACTTCAGCGCTGCACTTTCCCGCTGTCGGCAAGACTGCTGAGGCGACGGGGAGTTGGAGGCAGCATCCGTTGTTTTTGTTGTCGTCGTTGTCGTCGTGGTCCTGGTGCTGGTGCTCGCCGTCATCATCCTGGTGGTTGTGGTCGTGATCGCGGTCGTGGTGGTCTTGGTGGTGGTGGCGGCGGTGGTGGCAATGGTCGGCGATGGAGGGGGTTAGCAGACTTCAGGGTTGTGCATGGCTTCAAGATCTAGAAAGTGGACCGGGTTGCTGCATGCTATGCAGTAGTTCTTGAGTGGGCTTCTGGAACTCGTGACTCCATGCTCTCAGGTTCCCATGATACAGATTTTTGTCTGGCAATTGTCGCGACGGTGGGGGGTGGGTCCGTGGGGTGGGGGGTGTGGGGATTGGAGGACTTGAGGCTCGATTGGAACAAGCCTTTCCAAGCGGAGTTCCTGAAAGGTTCTAGGAAAGTTTGTGTTAGGTTTTGGGGGGCCTAGGGTGAGGCTTTATATGGTCTGGAGTCAATACGGACCATTCCAGCGAGGATGATTTCGAACAAATCTGGATGACCTTTTTCTTACTTTTCTTTGTTTGGCTTTGAGCTGAGTTTGACGGGCGTGTCAAGACTTTGAGTCCGTAAAGGGCATGGTCTCCTCCCCACCACGTATTCGCATGCAGCATGTTCCATGGCGCCACGAGGTGCACTGCAGTGCTTGCAAAACCTGCAACCAGCCCGCACACTAGCGGCAAAAGACACGGCTCACCAGGGTTCGTGCAAGTTTGTTGCGTTTGCTTTTGGATAGCTTTGAGGAAGTGGTTCTGATCTGGTCCAAGGATCATGTTACGTTGGAAGTGCTCTAGTTATGCATAGGTCCATCCCACTTGTTTTGGCCCGTTGATCCTGACCTCAATACTCCTGTCCTGGAAGACATCGATCCTCGTATATTGCGATTGGTGAGAGCAATGAGCAGCTAAGATGTCGCGAGCCGTTCCGTTGCTTAGAATTTTGGATGTTGCCTGAAGGCGCCCAGTACCAACCCTAGCACCAACCCCTAAACCCCATACACTAAATTAGTCACTAAACTAGACCCTACACCCTAACCGCACGAGAACTCGGAACTCGATTTTTTTTACCAAACTTCGGCAAATTCAAGTCAAGTACGTATGCATCACCCCCCCCCCCCCCCCCCC